ATATATATATATATATATATATATACACACACACACACTTTTGTTTTGTTTTACAGCTGAGAAATATTACTCCTTTACCTCAGATTATAAGGAATACTGTGTGGCTTCACTTGATTGAAGGTGTATATCAACTTCTGTGCTGCTCTTTGCTGCTGAATTTCCTTTATAGTATGAATCAGAAGTATTAAGGGATATTAGTCTTTCTGTAAGTATAAACCTACAACTAGCCTCACATAAACATAGAATTCTTTGCAATTGCTGGAAAACCTTCGTCTAGCCTGATAGGAATAATTTAACATAATAAAGACCCCCATTTTGAAAGCAAACCAACAAAGTGATAAGCTGACGATCAGTGTTATGTGGAAATATTTTGAGCTGTTAGTACTTAGTTAGTACACCAATTTTGCACATTACGTTTACTCAACATACAGATAAAGCTTTAAAACATATTTAAGGTGAGCTCCATTCAATAAGGAAAGCTTAGTTTGGCATGGTTGTAAGCAATTTGAATCACAAGCTTTTACATCACTTTGGAAATCCAGTGATCAGACCTCTCCTGCAAATTATTCTACTGCTGTAGGTATTTAAAAGGTAAATTATACTGTTGCACCTTCCATAATTGGACAGAACAATTAAGTACCCCACCTGCAAGAACCTGACACTTTAATTATGGTATTCTGAAAGGGGAAGAAGACCCAAGAGTCTACAACGAGGATGTCATAACACTGTGTTCTTCACAAAAAAAAGCCAGCAGGTAATTCAACAAACGACTACATGCCTAAAACAGAAATATCAGTTTTGGCTAGAATGGCAGCACAATAAATAGTACTGTGGTGTTTGTGAATGTAAAGCTGAGACTGATGTTTATTAAGTAGAGCCATATTCCTATTGTAAGGAATCCTTAATGTTCATATGACGCAAAACACAAATATAAGGGTTTCTTATATTTGGAGTTGCCAAAGTTGACATGTCCTTTAGTTGTTTGTGAATACCTCCACTCTCACAAGAAAATTATGAAGGTGTTACTCTAGTTCATTAGGACTCACAAGTTACTTGTGGTTACAAAATATAGATGTACTTTTCTGCAGATACTTTAACCAGTGAAAAAGAGAAGTCCACATACATTCCCTGTCATATAGAAACAACAAGGAGCACTAGGAATTCCACTGCTTTACTAAAGCATTTACTACTCTGCAAAAAACATGGAGCAGAAACACATTACATACACATATACTCAAGTCTTGCCCTATGTAATAACAGAGAACTGAACTACAGATTTCCTATTTTATAAATTCTTAACAATATGGCCAATACAAGGAAGTCAACGTAAAATGGATATTTCAGCACTACATGGATGCCAATGGGTGGAATTACCCACAAAAGCCTTTTATCTCTTGGGGCCACATGATTGAAGTCTCCCTATTAGAGTCCTTGGTTATGACTTTCTGAAGAAGAAATAAAAAAAGCTAGTAAGGCTGTCCTACTTCCTACTAATGAAGTCCATACTTCATTTTCCATCATGTAATATAAAAATACATTACGATTAATTTTTGGGAGCTGACCGTTACTATGTAGAAAAGGCTTTGCTGTTTAAATCTCCAAGATTTAAAGAAGACTGTGGGTGATCTAAAGACTCCTGTGTGGCAGGATTCAAATCCAGTGTCCATGTGATGCAGTCGAATAAATAAATAAAAGATATATTCTACCTTGTTTGAGTCAGCCAAATTATCCTTCATATGTGCCTCACACTCCCCCCCTCCCATACACTGCAGTTCACAGTGGGAGGGTCTCATTAGCACATTCAGTTCTGCCAATCCAGAAAGCAGTGTGCAGGGCTGGGTGTGACCAGCTGATAAGAAAAAAAGCTACACGCTGATAAATTAGCAGTGAAAATGCTGATAACAACACCCTATGCAACTTCTTCCAACTTCACTGTAGTGCAAGCAGACATAGCTTACATGAGGAACTAAACTGATCTGAATTTAGCAGCAATGCAGCGGAGTTGTCTCAGCATACAAGGAAGCTGCATGAGGTGGACTTTACTAGAAGGAGGACTAATGGAAAAAGAATCTAGTGGGAAAAAAAATATCAGTCTTGGGTGGACTTAACCTTTAAAGAAAGTGGCCAAGACCACTTATTATTTATTACAGGTATCTATATAGTGCTGACAATTTATGCAGTGCTTTACATAGCACATTCAATTCACATCAGTCCCTGCCCTCAAGGAGCTTACAATCTAAGGTCCCTTTCACACATGTATACAGGAACCGTTTAGAGAGGAGCCAATGAACTTTACAATATGTCTTTGGAGTGTGGAGAGAAACCGGAGTAACCGGAGGAAACCCACACAAGCACAGGGAGAACATACAAACTCCTTGCAGATAGTGACCAGGATTTGAACCAGGGATCCTGAGAGCTGCAAGGTAGAAGTGCTAACCACGAAAAATTGGGAGATATGTCCCCTAGTGCAGCGCTACCACTGAGGTGAGGGTAAGCGAATGTGGGTTGCGGTACTTGGTGTGCAGCTCCTAAGTGCGGACCGGGGTGTCCGACGTTTGCTAATTAGAAAAAAACAAGAAATACAGAAGCGCCACTACCAAGTGGTGGCTTGGCAAAAACAAATAAGGGAATAGGACTTACCAGGGAGTAGGTACTAGCGCGTTATCAGCGACGAGGTGTGGATGGATGGGGAGTCCACGGTTGCCGAGGATGGTGGGCACTCAAAGTGGTGTGGAAAATGTTGGTGCTGAGAAGGATTCAGTGTCAGTGGGAATCTAGGTCAGATGTTTTAGGGAACCGGGTGGGTGAATGTTGTGAAGGACTGACCGTCTGAAAGGTGCTGGCTGTTAGGAGAGGCCAGTGGATGTGTGGCTGAATACTAAGTGCGGGGGGGGGCGCGGGGTCTGTGGCCCCTACTGTCGAACGGTTAATGCTGGCAGGCAGAGAAGGCCCGGGAGACGCCGGTGGTTGAGAAGATTGCCTGGAGGTGGATGCTGAGGACGGGGTGAGCCACTGAGAGGAGTGGGACTACAACGCTCGAGGGCATGAGCAGGGAGCCCGGAACAGCGAGCGGTGTGTCTGTGGGGTAAAGCGGGTGAGAGCGAGTGGCGGAGATAAGGAGTGACAGTGTCCAAACTGGCTACGCGTTTCGAAGAGCTGGTCTTCTTTTTCAAGCCAAAGAGTGAGATGACAGATGGCGGGACAAAGGCCGGTTTTTGAATATGAGAAAGGTGGGTGGAATTGTTGAAAGGGGCGGGGATATGGGGCGGAGTGGAGCTGGAGTGACGTGGAAGACGGCGAGTGTGAGAATGGGGGAACCAAGTGTGTGAAAACAATGTGTAAGCACGGTAGTGATAGAGGGAACAAAAGGAAGATGGCAAAATGACAAATTAATTAAGTCTGATTGAGTGGGTGGGGGAATATGAGTAGGAACTTATTGGTGGGGTGAACGGATGAAAGGGGTTGTGGGGGAGAAAAATTCAGGGGGGGGAGGGAAAGAGGAAGGGTTTACAACAGGGTGTTCATTTCCAGTTCTTCATTAAGGCCATGGGGGGAAAGTGTGTTTAATTTGTAAATCCAGTATGTTTCCTGTTTGCACAGGAGGTGGAATATTTCAGGAGGGGGGAGTTTGGCAGGAATCTGCTCAATTGCAAAAACTTTTAGGTGCTCAGTGTACTTCTGATGTTTCAGGAGAAAGTGGCGTGGGACACTATGTTCCGTGCACCCCTTTTCGATGAACCTCCTGTGCTCTCCTATGCGTTTATGGAGGGGTCGGATGGTGCGACCTATGTAGAGGATGTTGCAGGAACATTGTAGGCCGTAGATTACATGGTCGTGGGCACATGTGATGAATTGTGAGATGGGGTATTTGGCGCTAGAGCTGTCTTGGAAAGAGGACTGGCCGTGAGAGATGAACTGAAAGGTGAGACATTGGCGTTTCTTACATTTGTGGACACCAATTCTCTTGCTGAAAGTTAGTCTCTGCGTTTGTTCGGGTTCATGGGTGGACTGTTTGCTGGGGGCCACTATATTTTTGATGCTCCGAGTTTTTTTGAAAATTACGGAGGTTTTGGGTGGTAATAGAGGACCCAGCGTGGGGTCACAGAGTAATAGATGCCAGTTTTTCTTGAGGATGGCTTCAATGGCCTTATACCTACTATTGAATGGGGTGATGAAACGGACCAGGTTGGTGGACTGGCGCTCGCTTTTTCTGTTGTTGTTGTCTCTTGGTGTTGGGGTGTTAGTGATGAAGTGGTCACGGGCTTTATTGATGAGGTTCTTGGGGTAACCTTTTTCCACAAATGTGTCCTTCGGTACTTTACTTTGTAGAATGTAGTCTTTTTTGCTTGTGCAATTTTTGTTGATCCTACAGAACTGCCCTTTTGGGACATTACGCTTCCAGAGAGGGTGGTGGCAACTTTTGTAGTGAAGATAGGAGTTGCCGGCAGTGGGTTTGAAGTGTGTTTTTGTGATTATTTCGGTGTTAAGGTGGGTAAATTCAAGGTCTAAAAACACCAGAAGAGATTTGTCTGTGACGTGTGTGAAACTGAGTCCTGAGGGGTTGGAATTACAATGTTTGACGAAGTCATTGATGGTGTCAAGTGGACCGTCCCAAATGATGTTGACATCATCAATGTAACGTCCGTAAAAAATCAGGTGTCGGGCAAAGGGATTATTGTGCCAGATGTGGTGTTCCTCCCAGAATCCCATAGTAAGGTTGGCATAACTGGGGGCACAGTTAGCCCCCATAGCTGTGCCTTGGATCAGGAGGTAAAAATCCTCTAGAAAGGTGAAATAGTTATGCTCGAGGGTAAACTTGGTGGAATTGAGGATGAATTGGGTTTGTTTGTAATGGAGCTCAGGTTCTCGGGACAGGTAATGTTGTAAGGCCTGGAGTCCTACTTCATGGGGGATGGCGGTGTAGAGTGAGCAAACGTCAAGGGAGAACCAATGAAATGTGGGTTCCCTTCCTATCTTAGAGACTCCGGACATTTAATCGAAACACTACAATATTATTCTTGGGAACCCACATTTCATTGGGTCTCGCTTGACGTTTGCTCACTCTACACCTCCATCCCCCTAGTATTCAGGCACACATCCACTGGCCTCTCCTAACAGCCAGCACCTTTCAGACGGTCAGTCCTTCACAACATTCACCCACCCAGTTCCCTAAAACATCTGACCTAGATTCCCACTGACACTGAATCCTTCTCAGCACCAACATTTTCCACACCACTTTGAGTGCCCACCATCCTCAGCAACCCTGGACTCCCCATCCATCCACACCTCGTCGCTGATAACGCGCTTGTACCTACTCCCTGGTAAGTCCTATTCCCTTATTTGTTTTTGCCAAGCCACCACTTGGTAGTGGCGCTTCTGTATTTCTTGTTTTTTTCTAAGAAGTGCTAACCATAACACCACTGTGCTGCCCACTTTATTACTAAAAGCACCCTAAAATACACAAACTAATCACCTTAGTCTAAACTTACCCTGAGACAAAGCTGCAATACAGTGTCACCATGGAAAACCTTCTGCCATGTCTGTACCACCTCAGGAAGAAAGGATTTCACTATAAAGATTTCTCCGGGATCCAGAACATCATGCTCTGACCATGTGCACACTACTTTTAAAGCCCTACGTAGACCTCCATCCATTTTCTCAGGAGTAAGAACCTGGAGCATTGCTGCCATCCCTCTTTGTGACCAGGAAGACATACTATTATCCAGACTGGATGGAGAACTTTCGTCCAGTTTATAGACAGTGACTTCTTCTCCAGCTAGAAAAAATATCAGATTTTTAATTGTACAAGCATTTTCTAACATTTTTTCAGTTCTTTACATTCCTATGTTGCTTAACTGTTTACAGACTAATGTAGAACTATTCATAGACATTAGATTTTCATAGGGTGAAGCACCAATCAAATGCTCAGACACAGGGGCGGACTGGGCCGGGTGGCAATTGCCCCCCGGGCCTCTCCGATGCCGTGACGAACGGCCCCTTGATCCATGGAGCCCCCCACTGACCACCAAGCCAAAGTAGGGCGACATAGTTTTTAAAATATATTATCCGGGGGCATTTTATCCCCGGGTACATAAAATAAACCTTTTTTTTTATATTCACCTGATCCCTGCATCCAACAAAAGCGCAGCCTCCCGTCTCCACACGTTGGTAGAATCTGCATACAGCGTGTGCTGGTTACTACTTAAACCGGATCGCTGTGTGCAGCTTCTGAGAAGATACGCTATTAGCGTAGCGGGAGCGGTGCAAAATGTGCAGCCGACTTCCTCGCTATGCTAATAGCGTATCTTCTCAGAAACTGCACACAGCGCACCGGTTTAAGTAGTAACCAGCACGCTCTGTATGCAGCTTCTAACAGTGTGGGGAGACGGGAGGCTGCGCTTGTCAGTGGATCCAGGGATCAGGTGAGTATTAAAAAAATAAAGTTGGTTTATTTTATGTTCCCGGAGACATAGCTTGTCTGGGGATGGTCTCCTCAACCCGGGGACTGTCCATGGAAACTGGGGATGAATGTAGGGCTGCAACAACTAATCGACTAAGTCGTACCTCCTCCCCGCCTCACACTTGCCGCTGCCAGACCCGCCCGACTGCATCCACGCTCCACACGCCACACCTCCACCCCGCCTCACCCTTGCTGCTGCCAGACCCGCCAGCCCGTATCCACGCTCCACACGCTGCACCTCCTCCCCGCCTCACGCGCACCGCCCACATCCACGATCGGCACAGGAACGCGGGGAGAAGAAGTAAGGTGGAGCAGGCGTGAGGGGATGACAGCCGCGGACAAACAGGCCCGATCTCAGAAGCAAGTTGCTGGAAGACTGCTCAGGTAAGCCCGCACTTTCCCACACTTGGTGCTCTATAATGTATTGCTGGGATAGTGGGATTTGTAGTCCTCTATAGCTGATGGTACATTGTGCTGTATATTATACCATCAGCTATAGAGGACTACAAATCCCAGCAATACATTATACGCTGTATGTATAATGTACTATTGCTGGCATTTGTTGTATTCCTATATAACTGGTGGTATTCTGCATTGCGCTGTATAGAGGACTACAAATCCCAGCAATAATACATTATACAGCGCAATGCAGAATACCATCAGCTATAGAGGACTACAACAAAACCCAGCAATGCATTATACAGCTCAATGCAGAATACCACCAGCTATAATGTACTATTGCTGGGATTTGTAATCCTCTATAGCTGATGGTATTCTGCATTGCACTGTATAACGTACTATTGCTGGGATTTGTAGTCCTCTATAGCTGATGGTATTCTGCATTGCACTGTATAACCTACTATTGCTGGGATTTGTAGTCCTCTATAGCCAGTGCCATTCTGCATTGATTGCTGTATAATTTTTCACTATAATTTTTCACATTTCACTATATTGCACACCACACTTTTTTTTCCTTACTACCACCGCTCCAAGCTTGCTCCTGTGATGGACTACAATCTCAATACAAACTAGTAGTCCATCCCTGGAGCCATTTGTTTTTTTTTGTTTAATATATTTTTATTACGCTTCAATTTAACATAATTTATACAATATTAAATACAAAACCCACAGATACATCATACAACAACCACTCCCATAAAATCTTACCAAATCTCCATCCCCTTTTTCCATCCCGATTAACCGGTTAATTGAACTTAATAATCGGTTATTTAACCGATTATTAATCGATTTTGAAAATAATCGTTAGCTGCAGCTCTAGATGAATGGCCACCATACACCAGGGATCCCCCACTAACCACTAGGAATCCCCCACTAACCACCAGGGAGCCTCCACTGGCCACCACAGAGCCCCCACTAACCACCAGGGAGCCCCCACTGGCCACAGTGGAGCCCCCACTACCCACCTGGGAGCCTGAGAGACAACACTTATTATTAGGGAGCCCCCACTGGCCACCACAGATCCCACACTGACCAGCAGAGAGCCCGCACTGACCCCCTGACAGTCCGCATTGGCCACCTGAGAGCCTAATTAGGGAGCCACCTCTGCTGCACACACAAGCACCTATGAAACTCTCTGGACCCCTGGTGAGAGCCCGCACAGCCCACCTGAGACCCTGGAGACGTCAGGCGGAGAACCCAGACCAACAGAGTATGTAGCTTCATATTATTCTGCATTGCTGTAATATGTATTGCTGGGATTTGTAGTCCTCTATAGCTGATGGTATTCTGCATTGCTGTATAATGGTATTGCTAGGAATTGTAGTTCTCTATAGCCAATGCCATTCTGCAATGCCGTACAATGTATTTCTGAGTTAGTGGCAGAACTACCAGGGTCACAGCATTCATGCACGCGCACATCCCTGACGAGGCATCCCTCCACTACCTGTGTGCTTTACATTTCCTAAACCGATAGATACATTCACACTACTGTTACATGGATGGCAAAAGTGGCAGACAGGGGCGGGGAGAAGGCGGGAAAGAGGCAGAGTGGGAGGGGGGCCAAGTTGCTGCACCATGGGCCTCTAGGTTGTACTTGTCCCCTGGGCTAAAAGTTGCTAGTCAGCCACTGATCAGACAACAGACAGAACTGACAGGTCTCAGAACCTCCTGCACCTAGTAATGACTGTAGTGAGAAAAAAGACAGACTGAAAGCTTGTTTCCCTTTGTCTGGCACATAAAACTAATAAACATGGCAACAAATCAAGCAAGCAAGGTTAAATCACAAATTGAGTACAAAAGCATTATTATGTTCTATTTACTTATATAAATACATGCAAAATGAATATACTATATGTCTGGTCAGTAAAACACTGACTACAGCTGTAAATGCACATGCTACAGAAGCAAAAAGAAAAGTAGGCTTATGGATTAACTGAACAATAGCAATGAGATTTCAAGAGGTTGCCATTAACACGCCAGTGGAACTACGCAGATCTCCAATTAAGTTATTTGTGTGGTCCAATTAACCACACAAATATCTAACAAGCAGATACAACAAAGGATTAAAGATCAAGGCATATAGATTCTAAAAATATACTCTGTACCGCTGAACTATTCAATATAATACATTTGTGAATAAAGCACTGTGTCGTAAAAGTAGCTCACCAAATAGATGTACTGGGGTAAAAGGTATGGTCTGTGCAAGTCTCATTAGGTTGTTTCTTTCGACCGCTGAAAGAGAAACAAAAACACAGCTGAATGTGCATTTTAGAGCTTTATCAACAAAACAAAAGAATATCGCAAGTCTTCTAATTACCATTTAATATTACTTATTCACACTAGTACAAATTCTGCCTTATACAGTTTGATTGTTTTAGTTTACTTCCCAACATAAGAGTAAATATAAAAGTAAAAGCTCATTTGCATTCAGCACATTGTAATTTTGAGCTCTGGGTGAACAAAAAACTTCCCTTAATTAATACAATAATACATTCAAGAACTGTAGCACCTGTTCACAAGATGGGTATTTCCACCATGGAGGATTGTTATATGTAAACATATTATTTTAAAAATTAAAGGGGTATTTGTGAATAGTACTGGTGTTTGAAGGGGGCAAACTGGATAACTGCAGGAGCTCATCACCAGATGGTGTTCTCAGCTGTCGCCTCTAATATATTTAGCAGTGCTCACTGTCTAATGGGATAGGAAACATCACACATTTGGGAGCTTATTCTCTTGATTGTGTTTCACATGTGGTTTACCAGAAGCATCAGTAGCCGTGGAGGCCATCTTTAAAAGGCCTGAATTTTTGTAAAGATTTAAAGAGGTATTCCTTGTGTTTAGACATTTCCTTCTGCCTCTTGAGCTCATCCTTGTGTTCAGTTCTGGCTGTGGACTGCACATAACTTCAGAACTGTAGCAATTCCTTGACAAAACAGGGGAGTGTGAAGAAACTATTTAGTAAGATGCTAAAGTGTGTTTTATCAGCTGGGTATCACCGATAATGGGGTTGACACACAAAAGCCAATAGGCTGTTTACGTTGCTAGGGAATTTTCCCTTAGCTTAGTTAATGTGATGAAATTCACTAAGCTAAGGGAAAGAATACCCAATCGCCTGTAAAGAAAATAATGTATATATATGGAAGACTACGATCTTGTTCTGCTGATACAGCCTGTCAGCAGAAGGCTGTAAAATAGTGCACTGGAGTTTCTCTTTAAGAAAATGTAAAGTTTTCCATTCTGGGGTGGAATCCATTCTTACTGAAATATATAGATTTCACTTTTCATGATAACCTCTCTTTAACCTGTTGCCTCAAGCAGTAAGGTTCCAGCAAACCAGCAGTAAGCCTGGTAATCCCCTTAGTGCCATCAAGTCAAGCTAAGTCTTGAAGACATATGTTAACTTGGCACAGGAGATTTAGCAGAAAACTTCTAGCAACATAACTTTTCTCCTTCCTTTGACTTACCTGAGTAATGATTGTTTAAATCTTGAGAGGCTTTTAAAGAAGTAGACATTTCTGTAATAAAATGGATAAAAAGTCATTGTAATGGACTCATAATTTATGTATTGATTTACAGTGATAATGCCCTAGTGCTGTCCTCAGCAGCAAATGAATAACTAACATTTCCAAGACAGAGACGGAGCATTAAAATTAGCTTTTTCGTGTCAATTTTACCATCTGTAATATTCCATTATCTCAGCAGCACTGGCAACAGAATTATGCTTTTGCATCCATTGTGTCCCTTCACTTCCCCTGTAACATAATGGTGTCAGAGCAGTTTTTGCAATTAGCAATGGTAGATAATAAAATAATTCAACATGTGGGCATTGTATGCACCTCCCAGTTTTCTGAAATGATTACGGCCATTCAGTGGTAAACACGTTCATGTATGACATATTACTTCTTTAAAGAAGATGTCATTTTTTTTAGAAGTAAATAAAACAGAAAAATAAAAGTAGAGAGAAGAATAATTGATTTGCAAAAAAACAGGAAAACATGATTATAAGGACAGGCTGAAAATACCTCCCAGCTTCCAAATGTTCCTCCTTTAGAAGAATACCTCTTCATACACATATGAAGAGGTATTCTTCTATACACAGTTTGTATACTCAATTCTCGTTCTCAAACAATTCATCCCCACACAGCTACTTCCTCATGTATCACTTTCCCCTCCTCTTTTAGATTGTAAGCACCCAGGGGCAGGGCCCTCCTTACCATCTTGTCTTGAATTGTATTGTGATTGTAATGTCTTCCTTATATTGTAAAGCGCTGCGCTGTTGGCGCTATATAAATACTATGTATTAATAATAATAATACTGTTCTTTTTGAATATACATAAGGGCGTAATCATACCTATCAAAGTCTATGCCATAACTACAGGGCCTGACGGCTTAGGCAAACACTTGCTTAAAAATACTCCTGAGCATGGCAACATAATAATTTATCCTGGCAGCAATAACCTTTGATAAAGTGGAATGAAATTCCTCAAGCATATGTTCCAGGCAGGTTTTAAAACAACTGGTACAACACCATCATTCAGTTCAGATACAGGCTTAGGGAGCAGAAGCAATAACTATTGCATCCAATAAGATTTCAACTTTCATACTTTAACCTGAACAAAAAGATAAGGCATGAAATCTAGTTGGTTGCCATGGAAAACAACTCTGTACTTTTTCCCTTCAGTTTTTTTTTTTTTAAATCACTCTCATTGATGAGTATACTCTGGCTTAAGCTTCCACTGATGATGTATTTTGCGAAGCACATATAACTGGCTTTCTTATTATATTCAATGCAGTGCAGAATCCCTGAAGCATCATTTTTTTGTTGTGTTGGTGAAAATGGCAAATGATGGTTAAACTGCACAGGAGTCTGAACAACAGGTGATGGTCCTACAAAGCAACACAATATTATATGCCTGTAGACATAACTAGTTGGTCAGGTTATCAAATCATTGAACTATCGTATTTGGAACAAAAATGCATAAACATTCATGCTCATATTTCCAGAATGGGTGGAAAAAGCAAACTTTGGCAATCAATTCTTTCCTTGAGATCAGACTGACACAGGGAGGCTGTTGATGCAGTAGAGTTTCATTTCTCAACTTCATTGAAAGTCTCTCACAAAGCCAGTGTTTACTAAGTTTCCCCTAAAGTTGGTCATATCACCTTGATGTGGGTTTATTTATTACTGGTACCCCCTAATAGTGTGTGAATGTTTTCCAAACAATCCATTATGCTGTTAAAAAGAGATTTGTCATAGGAATAGCCCTAAACTGCTGCATATATTAAAAAAAGGCGCCTAGAGGTACTTGCATATACCTGCAGCAGCCTCTCAAACTCTCCTGTCATGATTGAATGATGGAGCCTTCTGACAGGCAAAGCTTTGGAACTTTCAGATAATGTTGAAATTTAGTGATGGGCTACAAGGATTGAGTGGGGGAAGGGCCTTACTTCTCAGAATGGGCGACACTGGGTTGCAGGATGGCATAGGGGGCTAATGCAGCAATGTGCAGGCACCTCTAGTTACCTGAACTCCAGGGGCGGACTGGGCCGGGGGGCAGGGTGGCAATTGCCCCCTGGGCTAAAAGTTGCCAGTCAGCCCCTGCTGAACTCTATACCTTCATGACAAAATCTCTTTAAGCCAAACCTGTCACTTCGAGAAATGCTAGTTGTAGACCTGCATCTAAATATATACTAGTTCTCATGCATGGGCTTCAATATTTTTCAAGTCTATGATCCGGATCAAGTATGCAGATCAGGAAAGTAAAAAGTCCTTATCTGCATATAACCCCAATTCCAAAAAAGTTGGGATGATGTGTAAAATCTACATAGAAACAGAATGCAATGATTTGCACAGCTCATAACCCCATATTTTATTCACAATAGAAAATAGAAAATATATAAAATGTTTAAACCATTTTAAGAAAAAAAATAAGGTCATTTTGAAATTGATGGCAGCAACACGTCTCAAAAAGGTTGTGATAGGGCCATGTTTACCATGCTAAAGCATCCTTTTCCTTTTAAAAATACTCTATAAGCATATGGAAACTGAGGAGACCAGTTGCTGGAGTTTTGGGAGAGGAATGTTGTCCCATTCTTGTCTGATATAGGATTCTAACTGCTCAACAGTTCTGGGTCTACTTTGTCGTTTTTTTCGTTTCAAGATGTGCCAAATATTTTCAATTGGTGAAAGATCTGGACTGCAGGCAGTCTAGATAAGCAACTAGACTCATCTACTATGAAGCCATGCTGTTGTCATAGATGCAGTATGCGGTTTAGCATTGTCCTGAAGAAATATGCAGACCTTCCCTGAAAAAGACGTTGTTTGGATGGGAGCATATGCTGGTTTTAAACCTGGATATGTATTTCAGCATTGATGGTGCCTTTCCAGATGTGTAAGCTGACCATTCCATACCCACTAATGTACCCCCATACCATCAGAGATGCAGGCTTTTGAACAAAGCTCAGGAAGCGCAGGAAGGTCCCTTTCCTTTTTAGTCTGGAGGTCGCGGTGCCCATGGTTACCAAAAAGAATGTCAGATTTCGATTCATCTGACCACAGAACAGTTTGCCACATTGCAAAGACCATTTTATAATGAGTTTTGGCCCAGAGAAGACCATGGGTCTGGATCATGTTCAGATATGGCATCTTCTTTGCATGATAAAGCTTTAACTTCCATTTTTGTATGGCACGGCAAACTGTGTTAACAGACAGTGATTTTTGGAAATATTCCTGAACCCATGCAGTGATGTTCACTGCATGGGATGTTCACTTTAATGAGAGGAAGCTCAGTGTCCCCAATCTTTCTATAAGAGCAGCCAGATTTTCTCATCACTTTGGAATTGTACAGAGAAGCTCCAAAAGCCAGATAAACAGAGACAGATAAAATATAGGATGTTTATAACAAATATTTTAGATATGCTGTGTGAACACATAACAAATATATAGCGGGGGTTTTCTCGAATTTGTCTGCAAAACTAAAAATATACTTTAAGGTAATAAGGGTTAAGTATGGCCTCTTCCACTTACCATCTTTAGATGAGCAATATCACTCTCCATGTTTTTAACATGGCAAGTTTATTTAATGGATACATTTTCATTTTCAATATATCTTATATATGAATGTTCAATGTATCTGTTGAATACCTGTTAATATAGTACACAGACTTCAATATTCAAACTTTAGTCTTATGTAAAATAAATAATGGCACTCACTTTGAACTGCATCTGAATGTCTGAGCCTAGAATAAAAACAAAATGCATGTGTTAATAAATGATACCAAATATTAATACTGTAACCAGAGTCCATTATGTAAGTCTTTACACTGTAACCAAAGTCATGGCTTATGTCTTTACTATGCCCTAGTTGCAAATATTAACAATTGTTTTCATGTACAAAGCATTTAACATACTTTCAGTAAAAAAATAACTCCTCTGGTATTGTGCATGTTTTTGTTGTTAGCCTGTGGTGCACCAAGCTATAGTGAAGAAAATGTAGAGATGCACAGGGTTGAGAACAATATCTGGGCAGCATTGTGGCTTCGTGGTTAGCACCTATGCCTTGCAGCTCTAGGACCCATGTGGATGAACTTAATGACATTAAAATTATCAATACATTTTTAGCTCACCAGAAAAATAATTATCTACTTGCATGAGATGATGAGGTCCATGTTGGACCGTTCAAAAAAGAGAATCCAGGGTATCCCTGGCCTCATGAAACTGCTGGCTTCCCTCCATTTTGGGAAATTCTACCCTTCCAGCAGGTTTGTATATGTGTAATAGGGTAAATGAGAAGCTCTAAATATATTTTAGCGCTCAGTAAGCAGATGCTGCTTTGTAAACTAAAAGCAATCTTTAATTCCCCTTACAGGCTTAGAAGGGGTAGTTACAAAAACACCTTAAGTTTAAGGAAACAACATTTAAATCATAAAGAGTATCTTATTTTCATAAGTTGTATCCCACTCCTAAAAACCCTATTGATCTAGAAGTTTGTAAACTTCTTTATTGAAGACGCCCATAGGATGTACTTCTTCAATGCACTGACAAAATTTCACTCAGACCTGTGAATATGAACATCCTTGTGTCACCACTATAACTAAGCCTGCCTTCTTAAATACAACTCACCGTCTGAACAATGTAACATTATCATAGCCTGCTGGAAGCAATGTATTATGGGCCATGCAGTCTTGAGAAATCAAGCAGCAGGAAAAGAGATGCAAAGCACACTGGGAATTCAGGAAGTCATTGAAAGTGATGGGCAGACAGAAGGAAGTACTCATTACAAAAAAGGGATAACATATTAACAAACAATATTGTTGGGATCCACCCCGATGCCTGATTGATAGCTGGCTCTGCCTCTCTAGAGCACTCTAGGCCTTTTTTGGACTAGGTTACCAGCCAAGGAGGTCGCTGTTCAGTGTGAAAGCCACTCCTAAGCCAGATGGAGCCTTTCAACAGTGAGTTGTTTGTTGTTTGCCGCTGTTTCTGTACTGTCTTTTAGTAGAAATGCTTAAAGCCAGCTAGTTATTTGTATTTTGGCTGGTTCTGCTTAGAGTTAGCCTTTCATTGGCTGAAGAATGGATGTCTTTATTATTTTTTTTTTCCTTTCCAGCTATTGTCCAATATTTTTGGTAAATAATGATGTGCTGCTTGCACACATTTTTAAGTATGTGGCTTAATATATAAAATGTTTATGTTTGGTAGGATCCTACATGACAACCATCCAGAATTGGAGCTTAAAAGCCTTCGTTTTTGAGCAGATGGTCAGATGCTTGGAACTGCAGCCATTTATAGAGGTCTCCTCACATGTTTTTTACTCTACTTTCTAATCCTTTACTTTTACCTTTTGTAATTCTTCTCAATAAACTTTTAAAACTTTCACAGTGAGCAGAGCTTGTTGTTTATCTTATCAGATAATATGAATGAAACAAGATAATAAGCTATGTAGTGTCAAGAAATGCATAGATTAAACATAATTTCTAAAAGTACAAACAGTGATATGAAATAACAACCAATAAAAAAACACACTTAAAACTCCAACATTGTAAAGATATTTCTATAGATGGCTAGACATTGTTATTTTGCAGCATATTATTATTTAAATCTAGTTGTATATAACAATCAGCTTACTTAGAAGATCAGTTCACTAACAAAAAAACCCTGCTGCTGCCTTTTACGTTAATTTGTTGTGAATGACAAAACAGGGGAGCACATGTGAAAAGTATAAAACGACAGAAATTAAACTCAGCCTTTGAAAGACTGACAAATAAAATTTAAGAGCATAAACCAGTATAAACATTCATAGATGCAAACATTATATGCTCCACAGGATAAATGCCCTCAGGTTGTTTGTCAGTTTACGAAAATTCAGATGCATGTCAATGCACGATATTATATCAGGTAGAGTTATTGTCCCAAAAACAGAGAATAAGATACAGCTAATTGCCTCCAAGCACCTTAAGGGTTTAGAGTGTAGAGTTCAGAGACTATGTTTCGGCAGTCATTCTTAACAAATATCATGTGGATCCAAAAAGTGTTTTTCTTAATAAACTAACACTGTGCGCACAATATCATTTGTACTTCTACTCTCACAAATCCTTATAGATACATCAACTTTACACCACATAACAGAAATTATTTGTTGGGAATAATTAGTTTATGAAATGCTACTTCATGCTTTTTCATTTGCAATCTAGACACATGATGTGGCCAGGACTTCAAATAATATCTTTCTGGAAGTATACATTCATCAAGGATGTTCTGCACATCATACCAACTACCTGAAAAGGATTTAGAGACAAAAGGTGCCAAAGGTTACACTGGCACCGTTCACAGAACCACAAAGGAATCCTGCACTCATTCTGCAGATGTGGGGATTTTGGTGAAAACATCAAGCATACGTCACCAACATTATATGGCTTTTCAAAACCCTTTCATCAAGGTGAAATTATTCTTTCATTGCAGATGTTAACGGATAATAGAATAAAAAATGTTATATATTGCAGCTTACCTGTAACTTTTTCAGGCTAAGAACATTTTAAGCAAGCACAGAAAAGTAGGGTTTTTGTGCTCAACATAAAATGCTTTTCTCTGAATCAATTGAAGGACACAGGAAGCCTTAAACCTTTGGGTTATACTGCCACCTACAGGATTGGACACTGGGAAATAATCTGTAGGCCAGCCCAAGATAATCTACTCTTACTACAAGTGATGGGCGAACTTGCTTGGGTGCGATTTGCAGGTGCCGCCGGCGAACATGCTGAAAAGTTCTCCAGTTGCAAACTATAATAAGAACCCCATTGATGCACAAAGTGCGTGGGGAGCTGGGCAGTACCCTAAAGGAAAGGTACCAGAGAGAAAAAAAATCTGTTTGATTGGAAGCTGTGATTTTAATATTGCTTAAAGGGCAAAATTAAAAATGGAAGCTGCAATTTTAATATTGCTTAAAGGGAAACATTAAAAATTACCAATTCCTATAAATAACATGCTTAGGGGAAGCTGTGAACCTGCCTATGAAGAGGCATATCTACAAACTACTACAGCAAAACTGACATTTACAAAGAAAAACATGCAGTTCCAATTGCTGGCAAATGACAGCTCCAGGATGCTTAATTTCTGTTTGTAAACATAGTATTGTGGATTCCCTTTATCTATAGTAGATTCTTATCCTAGATGAGGGTCTGCTATAGATAGACCCAAAAAAAATGACATAGGGTTCCCCCAAATTCCATACCAAACCCATTAAGCGGAATAAGGGGGAACCCAAATGCGCCCCCCCCATCACGTAAATGAGTAAGGGGTACATGGTACCTCTACTCATTCACGAAAAAAATGTCAAGTGTAAATAAACACACACTTTTTGACAAGTCCTTTATTAAAAATAACACATTCATTGTCAATCACACTGTCCAGTGATGCAGATACTCGTTTATAATGGTTAACTATGCCTTTTTGCTTTGGTATATGTCCTTCAAGGTACATGAGTTAGCTCCTGGTGCTCAGACAAATTAGCCCACTCGCTAAGTGAGTCTTCAGATCCCAGTGGCTCTGGACCTGCATTCTGCAGCTAGCTTTTGCTAAAATGGAGTCTAAAATGCGCCCCACCTTGGAACCCAGTTTCTGAAGGTCACTTCTAGGCTATGCCCACAATGTCCACTCCAGCGTAGTTCAGACGCGGTACAACAAAAGCAAGACTGAGGACAACAGAGAGTATAGCTACAATTAAAGAAACAAAGCTTCAGCAGCGATGTAGAAAATAGTCTTGATTGAAGTAAATAAATCAAAGAAGAAAAGAGTGCTAACAAAAAATAGGTTAGTGTTAGACGCAGCAGAGCTGAAGAAAGGCGCCCACTCTATTAGGACACTAGTATACTGGTAGTAAGAGGGGTTATCCTGAGCTTGCTTAATGTTCTTTTTTGGTTTGCCAGCATCCAATCCTCGTGAACGGGGAAGGATAACCCAAAGTGGACATGAAAGAAAAACCTTTTGATTTTCACAGAAATGCAGTGGCCATGTCACTTCCTGTGAGCTGAACTGGAAGTGCTATAGGCAGATTATTGGTGTAAACCAATAATATGCCTAGAGCCCATGTAATGGAGATGAAGAGAGAAAGACATGTTTGAAGTTCAGCCTGGGTGGCAACCATGGCTCATTCCACAGATGCAGCAGAAGAGTAAATGCAGCCACCCTGGAATAGGAAGTGTGTCGTTCACAAGATTATCAGGTGAAAATAAAGAAAAAAGAAAACATAAAAAGAAAACTAATGCAGCCACCTCGTCTAAGCCCTGGCAAGGGTCAATATATTAAATTTTTTGTTTTGGGGTCATGAGTACTGCTTGCCTTCAAAACTTTTAAACATTGATTTTAACTCATGCAGTCGAACCGAAGGGCTGCTGTACAGGCTATTCACAATAGCCCGCACAGCAGCCAAAGGCGGCCGAGCCGAAGTGACACCCGAAGCCAGGCGAACGGCTTGCCGAAGGCCGGCCTGTCACTGCTAGCTCCGCCCAATTGTTGTTTTTTCTTTTTTTAAATATGTTTATTTCTTTTTTACTTTTACTATTTGTTTACATTTTTTTTTTAAATTCAACCTTTTTTTTTTTAATAGCCGAATGCTCGGCAACACTCGGCTATTTAACCACTGCCATTCGGCCCCTATGAGAATAGGGGCGAACGGCAGCGAGTGAGCTGCCAGAGCTTCGGCTCAGACAATCCAGATGTTGGATCGGCTGAGTCGAAGTCCTTCTGCACTTCAGCTCAGCCGAACATACAGAGCATGTTCGGCTGAACAAAGTGCAGCCGAAGGCAGCCGACGTATGACTGATTTCAGCCGATGTACAGCTGAAATCAGCCGTACAAGCCAGAAATGAATAGCTGAACAGCGTTCGGCACACTTGACTTTGGCTAGGTTATTCACTCAGCTGCCTTCAGCAGCTTTGTGAATATCCCACTAGAGTCTGTTTTGTCACTTTCTCCACATAAAAAGCATAATGTTCCCTCAACAAAGCCTTTGACTTGCTATACATTTGTTACATAATCAGGAATAAAAAATTCTCTCTGTACGTTCTGAGTTGTGGGTGTCAATTGCTTAAATACAATACTAATAGAAAAAAAGAGTGTGACAAGTCCCTTTATGATATGCAGAAACAAAACCAGACATTTGGTGGTGATTATTGTACTTACAAAGGACTCCTCCTCAGTTGAGCTGTACTATTGTTTAGTCCCTAAACCAAAGACATAGCACAAATCATTATATAGAACTGGGATAAAAGCCAGCAAGTTGTTATCAAACAGATTACCTTCCACAATTGATTGGTAAAACATATGTAACAGTTATAAAATAAAATAAAAAATCTAGTGCCTTTGACACTTCACTGCTGCTCTGTATGGTGCATCAAAACGCCCAAACATATACTTTTCTCACGTTCGACCTAAACTTTTTCTGGGCTCATTCACACCAAAATAAATGTGTATACAAGACTTTTCTGACATGTTGCTTTTAAATGGCAAAGCTCAGAAACGTCTGCTTGCTTTTTCATTGTCTATGCAGTCTGAAAATGCAGGCAGTCCTATCTTTGCTAGGAACGAGGAGGGACTGATCTGAGACACTGTTATGTAAGTGATTTGATCTCCAGCTATGCAGACTATTTACATCATTGCAGTAAGACTACCTAATGAAAACTTGGGGTATTATTCTCAACATACCACCTGCTGATTGCAAGTTGTCAATATTAAAATTGCTCATATGCCATTCTTAAAGCCTAATCCAAACAATTTGTATGTTCTTAGTTTTGGATAGAGTAGGAATAGAGTTAAAATTTCTGTCAGGTTTCCATTTCTGTTTGTGACTGCACTGGAAAGTAGGGATAAGTGGAGTGATTTTGGCAAAATTACTGATTCAATTATTTTTTCCTTTATACATGGGGTGGTCTTTTTGGGGGGTTGTATCTAGGGTAATGTGATTTTTGACCCTATTTCCTATTTTTATCATTTTCTTGGAGTACATTGCAGGACAAAGGATCTTATTCTTTGACCCTGAGTTATGCAGCTGCCTTCAGGAGATTGGACACTGGCAAAGCAAAGTTGTAAGGACAGCCCTGTATAACCTCTCCCACTCCCAGCAAGCCTGCCTGTACATATTTATTGTTCAAATGTAGATTCCAGGTTAATAAGAAAAGTGTCTAAACAGCTTTGTGAATCTGACTTTCACCTGTCACGGAAAATAAGAACAAAGAACTATGTGAATTTGGTTTGTGTGGTGGAAAACACAAGAAAAAAATGTAAGTGATATGTGAATATGGTGCACAGGTAACAACAGCTGGCTTCTTAAGTAAATGTGATTGTGAATTTCCCTCAGAGTGTTTTGTTGAAATTTGTAAAATTAGTTGAATATTCCACTAAAGAGTTTTTTGTCTGATATATTCTGGAGATCAACTCTGGCTTGTCACTCCGGGTTTGATCTCCACAACCTCCACAATAACAGGATTTTTGTACTCACCATAATATCCTTTTTTTGGGAGTCCATTGAGAGACACAAAAAGTCTTTAACATTCGGGTTATATAATTGTCAAGAGGAGAATTGGACACTGGCAAAGAAAAAACTGTAGGTTGGGGTAGCCTATCCTACTAGTAGCATACCTCCGTTTTGTAGAAAAGCAGTAGCAAGAGCATGATTATAAACACAGAGGGGTGGGACCAGTGTTCTTCAATGGACTTCAAGAAAATGATTTTACAAGGAGTACAAAAATCATATTTTCTTTCTTGTCCATTGAGGAATACAAGGAGTCTTTCACCTTCAGGAAATTCAAAAGCAGCCTAACCGAGGGGTGGGCAACAGAGCAACCAATCATTAACAGGTCCAAAGTAACAACAGAAAACTGGGGATTGCCTACAGCTGATCCATCTGAAGAACCTTACATTCAAAGCTGGTATCAGATAAGGGCGAAAAGTCCACCTTGTAAAACTTAGAGAACATGTGAATGGAAAGCCGGGCAGTACACTTAGAAATCTGGGAAATAGTTGCTTGATGCCAATAAGCCCAAAAAGTGCTTGCAGACCTACTAGAGTAAGGAACGCAATACTTAAAATCATAAGCTTGAATAAAGGTCTGTCTAAGGTCCCTAGAGATAATGAAATGAGAACGAGAAGCTGGGGTCATCCAAAATGACGAAAAGGAATAGTTTCCCTGAAAGAAGCAGTGGCTGAGAGGTAAATTCACACAGCCCGAACCATATCCAGACAATGGAGGGAAATGTTCTTTCTGATGGCCTGGTCAAGGTAAAAGCAGACACTATCTTAGACTACCTTGTCCCTATACCCCAAAACCAAAAAGGGATATTTGCAAGATATAGCCACCAGTTCAGACACTCGCCTGGCAGGTGATAGCTGCAAGGAAAGTAACCCTGTAAGTGAGAGTAGAGAGACACATTTTTTTAATAGGTTCAAACGATGGCTCCTGAATCACAAAGAGAACCAGAAACGAGCCAACTGTGCATCTCCCACCAAGTATCTCCAGGTTGGTGTGCCAAATCTGTTTGGGCAAAGCCAGAGACATGAGGGCACCAGAATGCCCCCCCAACTTAACCCGTTGGAGCAGGCAAGGAAATAGTTTGAGAGAAGGAAAGGCATGGATCAGGATGTACTGATCCTATGGAGCCACAAAAGCATCCCGGACCTAGGTGTCAATCAGATTGATATGTCCAGAAACAGAACCGCTTTGGCCTATGATGAAAGCACTTTGTGTTGCAGGGGTCTGGAGTACAAATGGGCAAAGGGAACTACTTTGTAGAGTGCTGTAATATTCTCATGCACAAGGGGAAAGTTGGATGACTTTACAGAGTCCACACCTGAGAACAGAGAGTCTGAAGCTTCCCCTGGGGAAGGTACACTCCAACCTGAGACATGCCCACGATCAGACTTACATACTCCAAGTTAGTTCCAGCCATGATTTCTAAAGGTTCAGGATTCACTTGAAGAACTGTAACATTTTGACAGTCAGAGATATGTCAACTTTTCTCTCAACAGGAGGTCATCTGAGTATCCCACAATGGAGATGCCTCAAGAGCACAACAGGGCCCACCCTGGAGCTTACAACTTGGTGAACACTCAAGGTGCCAACAATAGGCCACATGGCAGGGCCATGAACTGGCAGTTCAGAGGTCCTACAGCAAATCTCAGAAAGCACTGGTGGCTGGAAAGATGGGGACATGTAAGTAAGCAGCATTGATCTCCACAAAAGCCAGAACGTACACCCTAAGAAAGGAGGCAATGACATATCTGGAGGATTCCATCAGGAATTTGCAGACCTGAATAGAGATATTCAAGGCTTTGAGGTCCAAGATGTCACCTTTGGGGCAGTGAATAGGATGGGGTAAAACCACTGGTATTGTTCTGCAACAAGGGACTGGAGCTATGCCGCCTTGGTTCAGAAGGCTGAAGAGAGAGATTGATGAAGATCTGCCAGTTTGTAAGAAGACACGAGAAATTGAAGGGAGAAAGCAAGGAGCTACTCGAATCTGCAACCCTGGGACACCACCTCCCGCACCCAAGCATCTGGAATGCAAAATGTCCAAACATCTTTACAAGTCAACAGATGTCCCTCCAACTCTGAAAAGTGGGGACGCACTTTCATGCAGAGGAAGGTTTGTCCAAAGATTTGGCAAATTTGCAATGCCAGATTTATCAGGTGGACTGGGAGCCAACCCTGGGAATCTCGACACTGAAGTTGTGGGAGTAGAGACAAAAAGTGATTTTTCTTAGCAGCCAGAGCAGACAACCCTGCATTTGGAAGATGTAAGGCTTCCAGTAAGCCACATCTGAAATTCAATGTCACAGCCATCGGCTCCAGGTATTCCACAAGCATAGAGTTAATGACAGTGGTGAATAGATCTTTTTTAGGGAATATTTTCAGACATGGTCTGGCAAAGTAAAATGAAAGCCAGAATTAGGTGTAAGATGGGACCTGAGATCAAGTACAGAGTTTTGGAAAGGACCTGCAAGGGTCTAAAAGCATGTGCACCCTCCTCTGGAGTAGTAGTCACATTGGTAAGGTAAACACAGCCAATGGTGCTCAGCGGGTGGACCCTTAAAAAAAGAAAATTCTGTGCAAAATGGATACAAGATCAGTAAGTGTGTGGGAGTGAACTGCCTATATGCCAGGACATATCTGATCTTTGTATGGAAACAGTTAGAGAAAAGTAGTTACAAAGGAAAAGTATTTGCTGCTTTAGGGGCCATATATGACCCAAGGCTGGTAACAGCACTGGTAAAGTAAAAGGCAGTTTTCTAGTTTCAAAGTGGTCAATAATAATCAAAATGGTCTCCTTTAACTTAGGAGTAATAGCAGCAGACTGCAACGCCTCAGTGGTATACTCATCTGGCAGGAATTTGAGCGACTAAGAATAAGACAGTTTTCATCAGATGGCTAAAGGGCCACTAAGACTGAAGGTAAATCAGATCTAGAATCTGAAGGAGAGGGAATAGGAGTGCACTTATGGCATAGTTAGCATATACCTTGGTAAACCGGGTCATACAATCCTGCATGACCAAATAAAAAAAAATCAGCTGAGAGGGCAGAGCACCCAGTTCAACCATATGGAGTCACAGAGGAATTGGAAAATGGGAGAGACTCTAACAGAAGAGGACAACATGACTCCAGGCTGTAGACGTCAGTACCATCAGTTGGTACCTGGACAGCTGCCGATAAGAGTGGAATCCTCCAGAAGGGATGCAGAGAAGAATCTTGATTGAAGAAAATAATAAAGAAGAGAAAAAAATGCTAGACAAAAACAATTTAGTCTGGACAACAGCAAAGCTGAAAAAAATACATCCATCCCCCTAGGGCAATAGCAAAAAACTGAGGAATGCTGGACGGAGGGTTTATCCTGGACTGGCCTACAATTTTTTTGTTTACCAGTGTCCAATCTTCCTGAAGGTGGCAGCATAACCGAAAGGTGTCCGTCAATGGGCAATAATGAAATATTATTTTAAGAAACTATTATATCATTTTCATCATTGCTTCTACACATACTTCTCGGGATTGCCTCAGGTATTCACTTGTTTGCATCAGATTTCTTTCAATTTCTTGAGTCTTCAATTGCTGCCTTACATAAGTCATGGGCTCCAAACCTGGAAAAGATAAAACCAGAATGTAAACCTAATTCCCATGGAAACTTCGGTTGGTTCACCAGCAACTAATATCGAAAACCCTAATTAATGCTAACATACTTAAACTATAAAACTGATTTACAAATCCTCCAGTATCTTACATACTTTTTTATGCTGCAATATGTTTCAAATGTAAAGAATAAAGAAGATTTCTAACTTTGAAAAATGATATTCAGCAATGTGTTAGATCCAGTTGTGACATTTTCTAAGATTTAGTTTTATTGCTAGAATTTCAGAATTATGTATTTATTTATAAACAGTAGCCTGAGCCTAGCTTGATACTGTCCATACATAGCTTTCTGTTCTTCATTAGTCTTCCTTTTAGAGCTTTTTCACACCAAGACCAGATCTGGATGCGTTTTTGGTGCGTTATTTTACCTTAAAATTGGCTTTCAGGTGCAGATTAGTGCGATCCAGTGTATTTCCATGCATTTTAATTTTTTTCCCCGCACCAGAACGGATTGTACTGGTGTGAACAGGGCCCAGAAATACCATAGGAATACATGGGGATGCATTTCAGGTGTCGACAAAAAAACTTTCTGGTCCAGATCTGGTCCGGACATGGTGTGAACAAGCCCTTAAACATCTCCCTTTATTGTTAGCAAAGCTAAATTAACACTTATTCAAGATAATGCTCAGCTTTTTAGCTCTTATACAACTGCAATACACTGCCAGAAGAAAAGAGAAATTTCAAGAGGAGGAAAAGAGAAGCTGTACTAAAATTATTTATTTACACTTGTTATAATTCCATAGGATTTCATAGTAATATTGTCATTTTAAACCCTGAAACAAAAGTTAGATGGGTTAGCTGCTTTACTAGTTTACAGAATAATTAATATGGGAAAAAAGGTACAAAGAAGAGTGAGAAAGTGAAAATGTACATGGTCTAATCAGACAAGATATGAAGGAAATCAAAGAAAGGATCTGGAAAGTGGAATACCGAGTATCCACCCTGAAACATGAGATTGCTATTTTACCTTCTCAACTGTCCACATTGACTAAAAAAAGGATTTTAATGCTCACTGTAAAATCCTTTTCAAATGAGGGACAGTTTCACATACAAAGCCAGGCTTAATTGTTTAGGCCTCTACAAGGCCCCTACAATTAAGCCCAGCCTTGTAGGTGAAATAGTTCATTGGAGAAGGTCTCAGGCAGGGACTCTCTGTTTATGTTTTCCGCATGAATTAAGTTACCAGCATTTGAATTTTTATTGGAGTGCAGCTGGTCTTTTCCTTTGGATTTATGCAGTACCAAGAACATAATGATCAACACAGATGGGTAGGACATGTCCCTCAACTCCAAAAAAAGGGTTTTATGAAAAACCTAAAATCCTATTTTTTTTCCTGCCCATACACAGGCCCAACATGAATAAGAACTGGACCCTTGAGCCCTTGACCTTCACGGGACTGCCTGCAGCTTAAGGGTGTCTTGAAGGATCGATGCACAAAACTGGCAGCGGATGAGATTGAACCCCCTACCTGGTAAGGGGAACATGATAATAAGATCAGGAGGAGAAAACATAGGAGCTAAGTCTGATGCCCAAAGACCAAGAAAAAAAGGCTACATATGCAGTGAGGAATGATTTGCCATGTGAGGGAAAACTCCGAACCATAGACCATAAGAATGATCAACCTGATCCAACCAGAAGGCTGGAACTAAAATCAAACAAGCAGGAAATACCTAAATTTTGGGTGTGCAGATGCCACAGAACATCTTACAAAGTAATTGTAACATTCCCTGCTACTTTGCCAGAGGATACCTACATTAGGAAACTAGCTTGCTCAGCATGAACAGACAGGGTATCATAGGGTTTTCATCTGATGTCCTCCACCTGCAATGTGGGATCAGAAATGCACCTAGGTGTCTAGACCCCTTCCCCATGTCCAGAAGCAACCAGTTAGTAAATACTGTCCTCCCAAAGACTGCACTTGAAGTGAACTGAGCAGACAGGACTAGAAAATAAGGTTTGGCTAAGATCCCAACTAATTTTCTTGGTACAGCAAGAGCTCAAGTTCCTCTTTTTTATGGTAGAGTCACTCCAACACAGTGATGTTGTCCAATGATATCCCTATCTGTAGACCGGTCCAGAAAATGATCCCATGATGTCAGAGGAAATACCTGTTCTGGAACTCTAGGATCTAAATCAGGAGATAAATGTTCACTGATGACAGAACCTTCCAGAAGGTGAGAAGAAAAACCTTCACCATCCCCATAAGCCTAATCCAGCAAGTCAGAAAAAAACCTGTTCCTCAGGGAGAGACAGTTTAGTTTGCTTAGAAACTTGAGCCCCAATGGCAGGGGAAAGGTCTGAGGTAGTCTAAAAAGAGACTGGATTAAAGGGGGTCCCTTTGAGAAGCTAACTCCTTCACATAATTCTTATGCAACAGCTGAGAGATGGACAACTTTCTTATCAGGTGAAGGGGACATGAGAGTGAGGAAGTTGTAGATTCCTCTACTGCAGAAGCATACTGATTTGAGATTTCTGCATGCAATGAGAAGCAGTGCTTCCCAGCAATACAAGATTTAGTCAAATCTTTGAGACCATCGGGAAGACATTGTCCACTAGGGCCCATGTCAACTGTTTTTTCCACAGGAAGTTGTCTGAATGTCCCACAAAGTGGATGAGAGCACTAGGGCCAACACTAGGGCTAGCACCCTGGAGAAAACTTAAGGTGCAGTGGCATGACTGGAGAAGTAGAGCCCCAGGAGGATTGTAGTCAGCAAGTATGCCTCCTAGCTAATGGCAAATAACAGAGGGTCCCTCTAGAAAGGGACAGAAATTATAGGTTTGGTGGATACCATGCAAACATGTTGGACTTGCATGCTCCAAAAGAGACAAATGTCTCCTTTGTGAAAGAGAACCTAGGTCAAAATGGGATACATCTCCTAAGACTAAATTGGTACAGAAGCTAGAGGGAATAGAGGTAGTTCTGCTAGACTGTGTGGTGGTACAGGAAGGTTGTAGGTGAAGAGCTGAATGCTGGTGGTGAGGATTCAGTATGTAATCCTGAAAGGGAACTCTCTGCACTCTCTCTGGCCTCCAGTGATATCCTTAACAGTAATTTAAAAGGTGTGTCGAAACAGACATCATCCCCCAAAGACCAAGCTGGTTAAGCACTCCTTGGAAGTAGTGTTGATATTCCAGCACTTAACTAGGGTGCTCTGTGCATTTGTATGGATAACACACCCGTCCAGGAGATAAGATGAGATGCTTCCAACAGGTCATCACAAGTGAAGAGTAAAGCTTCAGCCATCTGTTCCACATGCTCAGCCAGGAAAGGATTTACTTCAGCGCTTAAGAGATCCCACTGCAGTGGCAGGCTGCAGTGTGTAGGGAGACTCCATTTTGTCAAATCCGTTTTATATTATGTTTAATGAAACATATTATGAAATGTATCTCATAAGTAAGACTGTTTAGATAAGATAAGGCACACTACCAGAAGTAAATGATGACATCTAAAGTGACAGTTTTAAAGATATTACACTGTACGAATACAGCCTACATGAATTTTGTATTTAAAAAACATGAATCCTAAATATTGCTGTTTCAGGATTGGATGCATTTTTTGGATTTTATTTAACTAACTAATGATGTATAATTACAATCTTTATCTTGATGTGTGAACCTTTATAAGCTGTATGAACTAGGGTGGGGTCGGAACTGGCGTGCAAGATATTACAAAGGTCGCTTCCCCACACATGTGTGTTAAATAATCCTCTTATCTGATTTTGAGCTACTCATAGACGGTTGCTGCTTTGTTCTTAAAATGTTCCTAATCAGCAGTGGGATCTCTCCTCTACAGTTTGGAGCATCAATCTCAGATTGGTGGAAAACATTTGACATGGAAAAGCTGACAACCTCAAGAATCTAGATATTCTGGTCAATCTTTTCCATTCCCCTACAGCAATCGGATAACCATAGGGTCCCAGAGCTACCCTTAAATGTTTTTTTTCTCCAGAATAGGGCAAAGGGCAGGGCCCACCATCAAGAACTGGGTTTTAAAAATGGATTCTAACCGTTGGTTGGTAGAATTTTTGAATGTGAGCAAGCCCTCTGCTGCCTTGGTGGTTTCCTTGTTAAGGTGGGTCACTGACAGATTCACAATGTGTATAAACCACTGTTTAGCAAACTCCTTTCTATATGGGAACAAATCCAGTAAGCAGTAGTGTCCTGGACCCATCAAGGTGCTTCCCATACCCATAGAGAAATACTTTAAAGAACGGGTGTACTGGGACAGGGCGGCCCGGTCCGAACCCACTGTACATCAATAACTCGTGACTATACGCAGTTCTCAACCGAGTGAGCCGTCACAAGGTACCACTCCCAGCCTCACCCCGCATAGGGGGTTTCCCAGCTCGTAGGACAAAAATCTCAGGCCAGCAAACAGAGCAATCATCACTAGGGTTGGTTAACTCCACAGTTAACCCTTTATACACAAAATTGAAGCTGTCACCATGTGTTTTAATGGAAACATGAACCATTCTCAGCAAATGCTGTGGACATTGAAAAAACATAAACAATACCTATGATACTGCTGTCCTTTCAGACAGGAATATGGCAGGTTTCACTATACAGTAGCACTCATCACAGAGAAAAGGATACTTTAAGTTCTTAGCGTAGAGATAAGATTACCGATTTTTAAAATGTTAACAAAGAGAGATAGAAATAACAACAGTAAAAATAAAAAGGAATAAAAAGACACTACTTAACAGTCCTGGGTTTATAAGTTCTCACAGAGTCCAGTTCAATGAACAGAAGATGGAACTGAATGGCTGCTTTCTGGAGGTTCTCTTTCTTATGTTACAAGAGCCTCCTCTGAATGTTAAAACAAGAGTCTGCTCAACTGCCTTTGCAATCCCCTAGGGGTGTCACGGAGCAAGCCCATAAGGTAGGGCTGGGGAGTGTGAGCAGGATGGCTAAGCCTTAACAATGTCCTTCTCTGCTCCTCCCA